ACGTCATGTTCGAAATGAATAACTGTCAATATAATACACAAAACCAAATGTATTCAGTCCTTTTTAAATTTAAACTTGATGAGTAACATTACAATCTCAATCACTGCAATACCACTGGAATTGCAATGACAATGAAAGAATTCCATTTTATGCTACCTTCTCCACCTCATGTAATCTTACGTAGACTGGTCCAATCAAGGATGACCACAAGGATTTGATCGTGTAAAGTTAGGCCTACTGTCGATTAACGAAGCTGACGTTTATGGTAGAATTGTGTATGCCCTGAAACATTCCCATCACGGACACAATTGAAGAACTTTGCAAGTGTGAAAAGGGCCAAGATGATGAAACAGTGGCAACGGCACGAGAATCGACGCGTTGGCGATCAGACCCCTGCAAAATGGCCGAGTACGACCTCTTCTGTACACTGCTGGATTCAGTGCATTATGATTATAAACTTTAAACTCGATTCCGGCATGGGATAGCAGAATGACGGCTGTTGCGCGAAGGCAATGATTTGTGTATGTGTGTGGCAACTTGGCATTCTTGGATATGTTTTTCATCATTTGTGACAGTGAATTTTTGCCAACGCATCGTGACTGAAGTGAGGAGTACCCAACAGAATCGCGGATATCGACGACAGATTTCGGATGTTGAAAGAACGATTCATTATTGGGATTCATGTGGAATTAGTACAATTTGAAGGATGAAACCGGACACAAAAGGTAAGATTTCAACATTTTTAATTGTTTTGATATGCTTGGGCTTGTGTCAGTGGGATTTCCTAGACTGCATTAGTACCTTTTCATTATTACCGATTAGTATTTATTTTTTGCTATTTTAGTATAACATGATATTATCTTTCAGTGTTAGATCAGATGTAAATCATGTTGAAAGCTGTTTTTCAGAAAAACTAACTATATTTGCTTTTATGCCTTTGATAATTCTGTTTAGAAGCCGTGTGACAGTCTAGCGAAAGGGAGGTAACTAACATGTAACTTCCTTTGGATGGTTTGTTTACAAAATGTTAAACTATGCACACCTCTGAAGAAAATTGTGTTTCTCTCAGTTGCTTTCGATAATGACCCATCAATTATTCCCCTCAGGCCATTCTCATCAACCTTAGCAAAGCGGGACTGTGGAGGGACGCTCGGTGTACAAGATGGAGCCGGGTCAGCGTTAGCGCTGGAATTTCGAAGTGGAAACGTCCGGAGTGCTGGGATTGGTGTTTTTTGGAAGATCAATATCTAGAAACAAGTATCATTAACTTATTCTTTGGCTCAATAATAATCTTTAAACTTGGAATATTCTACCAAATTAAATACACGAATGCTTGAAATTTGCGGAGCAGTTCATTTGTGAATAAACATCATTGAAGGATAATATTTTATGGCTCTTAATCACTGTACTATTATCTGATCACATATGATTATGTACCATGTGATTGTATTCACCATCACCTTTGAATAATTCTTCCAAGAATTTGTCGTCTTCAAAGATTGTATCAAAATCCCAGAGAAAGAATTTGAGGTGGTAATGTTCCTCAATTATGCAAATTCATGCAGCGAAAATAGTACGGTATTAGTGCCAACGTATTAATGTGCGGTTATTAGGCCATCATTTTCAGGTATGTCGAACAATATTCGACAAGGGTAATTAACCAATCAGATTGCAGAAAGCACTCACTATTGGTTTACAATATGGGTTGAAACAAGCCAGCTTTTCTATGTTCGTGATGATCGCAAAGAGTTACCTCCCTTCCCTCTTTGTGCAGTGTTTGTTTACAAATGTTTCTGATTACCTCTCCTCATATATATTCATAAACTATGCCATTTCTATGCACCTTTGTTAGAATTATATTGTATTTTACTGCATAATAATGGTTGGTTATTATTGTACTAAGTATAATTATTGTTTTGATATCAGGACTAGTTGGTCCCTGCCCTGGGTCATGTGACCACTGACCGCTGCTGAAAGGAGTGTTCTTGTCTCCTGGGGGTGAGTTAAAGGGGCAGTTCTGTACATCATCAGTTTCATAATTATTAACAACAATTTTGTAATTCTTAGCGTAACACGTCTCATAGGATATTTTGTATTGTAATAAGATTCATGTGTAGAGATGGGTTTGAATGTTACTGATATTTTCAGGCATGTTAATTAATCAACCTCTGTTCATGTACATTTCATCTATTGTTCAAAAAGTCAAGAGTGATGTTATATTATTGATTGATCATATGTAATACTTTTGCTGGTCAACATCAATAAGTAGTAATTATCATGTCTATTGTATTTGAAGTATAGTATGATTTGTTGATAAGAGTATGTATCTCGGCATGTCCTGACAAACTGCCTTGTCTTTTGTTGTAGGTTTATCATGGATTCGATCATGGATAATGAACAATAAAGTCTGTCAATAGAATATCCAACTCTCTGTATTCCTTCCCCCGACTATACTTGTGAGATAGGGCGAACACTTAGTACACAGGTTGCAGAGGCTACCAGGGGAAGGTGACGAGGTGAGGTTGACACTTGGGCAGCAGATGGCTGGATTGGCTGGTCAGTTCGTCCCTTCAAGTCCCTGGTTTGCCTCTCTGCTGGTCTGTCCACGCCCTTCCCGCTGTCTGACGGCTCTGCTTTACTTGCCTATCCTCCCTGCTTTTATATGCACATAAAAGATAAACAATTTGCTTAGCTTGCAACATTTTTACTAGTCAGCAGTTTCACTGGCAGAATCTGCCCAGGTGGCCATGTTTTGATCAGTCAGCAATTCTCATGGCCGTACTCTACCTGGGTGGCCATATTGTATATGACTGCAGTGACAAGACATACCGTGTGAGACAAAAGTGTGCACAAAGAATAGTGTTACAGTCGTTCCGAGCCTGGACTCCACTGACGAAAGCGAATCTGCCTGATGAACGACCTCTGGCAGAGCTGGCTCTAGAATTTCTTGTCCTTGGTGCGCTGAATGGCTGAGAAGCAAAACGAAATTGAGTTCATTGGACCGACTGTTTAAACATCGTGTTCATCATCTGGGCGGACTTGATCAATATCTGGTGCTTAGAGTTCTGCGAGACTTCCTTGGATACTTGTCTGATGGCACCGTCGAAGATGGTTGAAGCAGCCCATGGTTTACGAAGTAGAGGCCTGTTGTACATGCCAGGCAATTGACAGGACGACAAGAGACCCTGACGACACAGTAAAGTAAGTCCAGCTGGGGTAGACACTAAATGGTCCGACATAAATTCTTGGTCTCTCATCGGCCGCCATGCATGAGCATGCCTTCATTTACAGCTCTGGAACGTGCAAGTCCGAAGAACAGCAGTCGTATCTAGCTGGACTAAATTCTTGTCTTCTACTCTGTATGTGCGAGACTTCGAGCCACTCATCAATTTGTAATCTGCGTCTACTTCAGGCGTTTTAAGGACGGGATCCATGTTATGAAGTGGGAACTTACAAGGATTAAATGATGGTGTATGTTGGTCTAGCAAAGGCTGATTTGAGCGTATCTGCCACTTGAGAAAGAGATTTAATGGGCGGAATCGTCAAAGTGTATATATCATCCTCTAGGATAAGGTAAGTGTCGGCTGGTGACGCGATAGGCAGCCCATCAGCAATACAGGCTAGGACTACCGAGTCCGTGTAAATTGAAGAATTGAGATCGTCTTGCATATTATCATCCGAAACCGGTGGCTCTTCGCGGATTGAGTCGTTGGTGAGAGACAGATTAGGAGTCGACTGATTAATAGGTTTGTCCAAATCTGCATTCAACTGCTGTTGTTGAATAGCCATCATAACTTTTCGGGTCATCGATATTTGCGATGAAGTCTGGTCGTGATGGATACTGAGAATGGGTTCGCAAGAGCTGGTTTAGGTTTGTTCGAGAAGGTTGTTGATTGGGTTTACGAAGGTTCCTGGTAGAAGACAAAGCTGACGGGTTCGAAGGAAGCTTGCAGAAGCTTCTTGGATGAGTGTAAAGTGGTGTGTAGAGTTGAAGGGTTTGAAAACCCTGGGGTCTGCGAAGGTCCAACATAGGTAGCCGGGAAGGAACCTAGGTTCCCAAAACGTCGGAAGAGTAGACTACTGCGGCTGCAGCAAAGAGTTGTCGAAGGTAGATGTCTGCCGGAGGGTGTAAGAAGGAGAGGTCGTCAACTTCGTCAGGTCTGAGGATCTTCTAAGGCAACAGTAGACTTCGGCGATGATTTTGACAACGACTTCTTGTTGGACGTCTTCTTAAGTTTGACTAGCTTTTGGAGACCATAACCCGCCTCAGGAGCTTCCCTCTTGAAACGGGACTGCGAGCCTGCCTCAATATTAGAGGAAGAAATCGGAAAGTACCCTGTGAGTAACTCCAGTGGAGATTGGGAGACTATCTCGGCACCCGAAGATAATATCGGTGTTAACTCACGTTCTATAAGCTGTACATTACCCTTGCGCAAGAAAGATAATATGTATTTATTAAATACACATTCAGATAAATGTGCGCAATATTTACACAGTAAAGTAATAGAAAATGACGCAGGAATGCATGAAAAGCAAACAGGGTGTGGATCAGAAACAGAAATACGGTATCTGCATTGTTGACAAGATCGCATGTGTCACAGCCTTTCTGCAAACAAAGTGAGAAAACCAAGAAATTAGCCGTGAATAATTAATATAAATACATCATTATGATTGCCAAAGGATATAAGAATCAATGTACAGCAAATATTTGGATCTTGGCCTAAAAAAGCCGTAGAAGGGACCCGAGGTGCCAGCTTATCCGTCCGGGTGGGCGATGAAGGAGAGAGTAACATCTAGCCGCCGGTCACGTGGAACTATTGGCGGGAAGAACGCATGGGGCCCTGTTTGGGTGAGTAAACTTTTGACTGTTCTTGGGAACATAGGGACAGCGGTTTCCACTGAACCTTAGGAGGAAAGGAGCAAAAGCAATAAGTATGAGTCAGGATAAGGCAAAATGTACGTACATTTTGAATATTCAACATGTATCTTATGTAACCTACCTGTTGCTGTCTGTGAGGTTAACGTCAATATCTCCTGATGTGACTTTGATTCCGTTTATAAACACATTGATGGACCCGTTTCTTGTCCACGTGGCTGCAACATGATCCCATTGACCCTTGACTGTCTCAAGATCTGCTTTTTCTAGCGTCATATTGACCACCTTTCCAGCGGCAGAAAACTGGACTCGGTCTTGGAAGAGCTCGAAATACTTTTCACTGCGATCTCTGCAAGAGAGTTTTAGTGTAAACCAGCATTACTTACGGTGGAATGTTAAAGTGAGGCATCCACAGCACCATGTGAAGACGTGTTTAAAATCATCATGATCACAAGTCGTTTCAAGAACTATCCTACTCAGTTCTCGTGGCCATCAAATCATTTTCTACATACTGCCCTGTTTCATTATCTACAGCGTAGCAGCACATGTATTATCAAGAGATGTGGACGACTTACAGGTTGGATATCACGACTGATCTGCCGGAGTTGAGGTAGCCGATCCAGAACATGATGGACAGGTCGCCTGTAAGCTGGAACGGGTTGTACGACTGGACAACCTGGGATCCCAATCGATTGTCCAGGTACAGGTCAAAGTCTGGCGACGTGTCTGTGACATGATAAACATTTTTCAATCAATGAACAGAATTGTTATGTGTGTCCATGATAATTTATTAACCCATTTCCATGTAATAGACATTTCAAATGTATTCACAAAGATAATGGAATGAAACCATATTTGGTTTAATCTCTTTTGGGAATATTGACCTTTACACGACGTTCCAGAGAGAATTTTGGGAGGTGTACACAGGCAGAAGGTCTCGCGTCCCTCGCTTAGACAGGTCGTGCCAGATGGACACTTGTTGCTGCAAACGTCGTCCTTTGTCTGGCAATTATCACCGCTGAATCCTGAATAGAGAGATAGAGAGCGTATAGGATTCTCAAACATATATCAGGTGGGATATATTCCTGGTGGATGGAAGCAAATAAACAGATGCGTGGACTGATAAAGTTGAAAGGAAAGGTGTCAGAAAGATAATAATAACAGATAACAATAATGGCCATTTGTCATGTGATATAACCCACACACTAGCGCAGGGGGAAGCGGAAGAGAGTCCGTTATATACAGAGAAGAAAAGATAAGTCTTCAGTTGTGATTTGAAAGCTGTCAAAGAATCAGAGTCTTTGATGTATACTGGCAGTGAATTCCATAGTCTTGGGATGCAAGGTAGTTATTCTACCAAATGAGGAAAGTCGGAAAGATGGTACAGTAAGTAGGAGCTGGTTCTGAGATCAAGGGGTACTGGCTGGTGTGCATACAGTGATCAAGTCAGTAAAGTAGGATGGGGTTTGGTTGAGGAGGCATTTGTAGACGGTGTCAAAGAGATGTGGTGTCAAAGAAGGAACCATATTGGAGCTAGAGAGGGATTCATGCGTCCAGTAGGGAGAGGCGTAAAAGAGAGTGTTGTTTTCAGGATTTATAGGTTCTACACATCCTGACAAGGGTATAGTTGGTGTCGGAGAGTGAGTTTAGATCTATGTGTTTTCATCTTGGAGGACTTAGATGTAGAGGTGCAAATGAAGAGTCCGGTGTTAAAGCCATATGATCCCATCTTGGGTGACTCAGAAACAGGGGTGTAAGTGTGAGAGTCAAGTGTTCAGAAACAGGAGTGCAGGTGTGAGAGTCAAGTGTTCAGAAACAGGAGTGTAGGTGTGAGAGTCAAGTGTTCAGAAACCTACCTTCTGGGCAGTTACACGTGTGGCCCATTGGCTGGACGAGAGAACAGTTGCCACCATTGTTACACACATTGGCGGAACACGTATCCTTGATCAGCTCACAGGACACCCCGCTGTATACTTGGAAAGAGAAATATAAAGTTTAAGTATACATCGTAAAAGAATCACAGGGTTGAAAGAAGAAAGGAGGGGTAATAATTATGCCACCCAGTACTTACATGATCCACACTTGCATGTTGCAGACCCGCCTGACTGCTGGCATGTACCCTGTGCAGTACACGGCTTGACAAGATCACACACCTTGGGGGACGATTCACACAGGCGCCCCTGGGTTCCCTTCTGGCAACTGAAGTCAATGGCTTAGCGTTATAGGACAATTGGAGAGATTGTATAAATCTGTGCTCATCAAGTTAATACAATATGACAAAATCCCCAAGTTTATATTCATCCATAACATAAATTACTAAATGTGTTGTTTCTTTCATTGACCGGGGTTTTACGTTATTTCAACTTAGCTATCATTTACTTAACCTCTTCTACAATTTCTACAATTCTTCACCTCGAGGGTAATAAAGTAGTGCTGTTGCCAATGTCATTGTTTGGGGTTTTATTTACTTTACATGTGACAACTCTTATATATTTATCTGTCGAACATATATACTTCCGACCATTTCTGGTGTCCCCCACCGTGATGTTGCTGGAATATTACTAAAAGCGGCGTTAAACCAAACTCACTCAGTCAGTATATACTTCCGAGCTGTCATGTTCGAGTATTACTTGTGTTTTTCTCATTTTCATATTTCTGACATAACCAAGCATCGATTTGCATTGGTTACGTACAGCATTACATTTCATCTGGACAAGCACGCGTTGCATGTTTAGACTCAAGTTATGCGTTAGTCGTTAGTGTTGACCAGCACTCTCGTAATGCACCAGTACGCACCTGCAGAAGTAGTCTTCAAACACGGGGAAGCACGTGGCGTCATTCTGACACGAGATGCCGGAGCACGTGTTGGCGATATTTTGGCAGTTCTTGCCCTCCCAGCCAGGGGTACAGTTACAGGAGTAGTCGGCCAGCTGGTCCACACAGGTGCCGCCATGCATACACGGCAGGGAGTCGCACTCGTTGATCATCTCCTGGGGAACAAAACTCGGTGGAACACAAAACATGTTTGTAGGAAGCAGAAAAGCGCGATCAAACATTATTACCTATGAAAAGAATATCGTCGATGCAAACCTTTTACTAACATACATGAAATCTTGCGATATGTGTTATTGTGCAGCAAATTATTATAATCAGGTACTTTTCTTGACACTAAGGTATCATTTCTATATCCGAATACGACCCCTGTTTTTTCGGGGTGATCTGTTTAAAAACACGCCTTACACATTCAAAGAAGCCGATCCTATAAAGACATTGAAAGGAGTTAGATAAAGAAGGGTGGATGACACAGATACCGGCGATGCCTGGTTTCAAGAACGGTGAGCAGGCCCGTACTTACCGTGCAGTTTTTACCTGTGTAACCCGGCTTACACTCACACCTGTAGTCCTGGTTCAGATCCACACAGCGCTCTGTCTTTTCCGTGGGACATTGGTTTTTGCAGTCCACGATGTCAGACGTACAGGTAGGGCCTGAAACCAGACACGTCTCATCACTACTAAAGACTGAATGACGTGTAATTTCAATGTCACTTGTGAGAGAATGCAGATATATTAGCAACAACCCGTGCAATTAAATTCATTTCCACATTGTTGATGCACTTTGGGGTCTTTCACGTCGCAGAGATGTGCATCCCGTACACACAAACATACAAAGGAGACTCAGACACTATTTATGATGCGTCCCGAGTCCCGAGTCCAGCATTGTATCATTTCATTAGTTTATATATGTCCGCTAAAGCTAAAGTAGGTACCCAGAAACAACTCATCGAATCCCAGTTGCGTAGGCTGCTCCTCATGATGTCAATCACTGGATTGTTTAGCCCCGATTCGATAATTTACAGACCGCCGTCACGTGGTTGGAATACTGCTGAGTGCGGCGTTAAACAACAAACAGAGAGACCAATTATGAATCTATTCCAAGCTACCTCAGTTCGAGAATACGCTATGACGTCAGATCTACTGTCCCGGTTTACCTGTCCAGCCATCGTCACATTGGCAGGAGAACGTCGTCACTTTGTCTACACAGGTTCCATGCACGCACGGTTTGCTGGCACAGTCGTCGATGTTGTGTTGACACAGAGATCCTTCGTAGCCGGACTTGCACACACAGCGGTAGCCGCCGGTCAGCTTGTCACAGCGTTCTGTGTTGTTGGTGGCGCATGGGGACGGGGAACAGAAGTCCTTCTCGGTACACTCGCCATTGGAATCTAAACAAGTTAAAGATATTGCCTTCCACTTATCACGTGCTAAAAACATATTTCGCAGTTAAACAACATTATTAGTTTGACAGACATGCAGTCACAAGTAATGCAGTTTCGCCATGACGATCCCCTAATTATGTATCTTAGTTCTGGCATAGCACAGCAACACGATCACACAAGTCACACCATGTGACACTTTACCCGCTGAAACTAATTTGTACGGAACGAAGATGGTAAAGAGAGACATCCCATTTCTCCAACCAAGTCATACAAACCAAACTTTACCTTTCTCAAAGGGATTATCGCAGATGCAGTCGGCAGTGACGTTGTCGTAATTGTTGATACAGAGTCCGTTGCTGCAGCGCCCTGATGTACACAGGACCGCTTCATTGTGACAGTGGTCGTCCCCGAAGCCGGGTTTGCACGTGCAGGAGTAAGAGTTGTCGCCATTGACACAGGTCCCGCCGTACAGACAGCCACTCGGGTTCTCCTTACACTCGTCTGTAGGGAGACACAGTGAAATCTGTTCGATTACTTATACCACTACAGTCAGTTTGATTTCATTTGAGACCGATGAATTGCTCAACACAAATCTAATAATTGCAACAAAACCAAATTTTGCACAGTCACATAAAAACGACGGACAAACCCATATTTTTTGTCTCATAATTTTGGACACCCGAATTAAAAAGTTGTTTAACATGTTACTGTCACTGTTCGCTATTGTGACGAGTGGGGACCACTCGCTAGTAAACCGGCCAGGTAATCAACAGGCGGGTGTTGTGAATGGCATCTTCCCGGAATGCCGGCACCTTTTGTATCACACCTGCCTGTCTGTGTAATTACATAATGTGACAGAGACCGAACTCGGGCCATAAATCAATGCGTTTTGTTTATGGTGTATAGCCTGATTGGTGTTAAGTTCAAATGGCATGTGGTCAGTGATCGCAGTTGTGTATTGAATATTGTCATTAGCAGACAGGCAGGCAGACACACTGGTGTCAATAAAACAAGACATTGAGTTTTGTCTGTGACAGTGACATATCTATATCACAGTTAAAAATTGTGTCAACTCTAAATAATGACATTGCTTTTAAGTATCGAACTGAGAAAGTGACTCGGTAAGAAGATCGTGTGGTGAAATAGACAAATGAAATTATATAAACAGTTTATTTACTGTCATAACATACAAAAAGCTCGCGCCTGTGAGTTATCAACAAAACATTATGAAAATAGCTCACACCAAAGCCTTCACCGAGTATTCACCGGACAGCCCGCTTCCAAGTTGCGCGAACCTATTTCAGTGCGCACGTGCTATGAGCGCAGCCCAGCTGTTGAAACCCGTATTCCCCAGAAAAGTCTGGGGAAAATTAGTGAAACGTTTGAACTCCGATTTCGCGCGTTTTTTTTCATCGCGTTATTTTTCAACTTTATAAGTTGAATTTGCATTTTTGACGCTTTGTTTCGGTAAGTCCATACCGAAAGGTATCAGAATCTGCAAAGTTGTGTTTTACGTTGCATGTGACCTTTAAGGTAGGTAAAGCAGTGAAGCATGCTAATTGGAAGACAATAGGGGGTTATACTGTGCTAACCGTAACATGCCGGCATTCTCCTAACCCTAGGTGAGCGAAATTCAGAAAGTGAAGGAGAGCTCAAAGTGTATTCTTAGTTTTGAGTTAGCGAAGTTCAATTTTTCATGATGGTGTATTGTAGTAAATAAGTAACAGTGTATTGCGAACAGAAGAGGTGGTCGAAGTTTACGAAGTCTGCATCAAACGTAGACGACAAAATAGCATTGATTTGACCTGATCAACACCAGACTGTACAGCAGCTATCAACACGACAGATGATCTTGTGACTAAGCTAGCTCAGTCTCACAACAATCCGGCAGATGATACCAAAATCGCCGTAGAAAGCTTCTTTCTAATATCAAGCAGTGAGTGAGTGAGTGAGTGAGATTTTACGCCGCTTTTAGCAATATTCCAGCAATATCACGGCGAGGGACACCAGAAATGGGCTTCACACATTGTAACCGCGTGGGGAATCAAACCCGGGTCTTCGGTGTGACGAGCAAACGCCGCTGTAACCACTGGTCTACCCCACCACCTTAGTCTAAGCAAAGTATCACCCATTACTAACCCCTACGTGTAAATTGTACATTCAAAATTGATACGACAGCGGATTAGTTCAATAACGGTAACATGCCGGCATTCCATGAACAAACCTGTGAAATTTCAATTTCACACGTGCAACTCGCACACCTGGCTGTTCTATCAGCAAGTGCCATCACTATTTGATAGCGGTTCATACACACATGCTCATGACATGCTCACAACATACTCATGCAATCGACTATGCTTTTGGCAGTGATTACTTGAGGACCTAGAAAGGCCCTTTCTCTTGTAGTCAGTCGCCTAAACCGCTTACCAACCGCGACTTTCACAACAACTGGTAGTCTAGACTGCGGACTTTGTATACCCTCTGATAAGTGTAAATTGGCACGGTTCAACGGCCGAAAGCTAAGATTACACAATGCCATTTAGAGGATGTGGGTTCGAATCCCCGATGGGACTCAACCCAAAAAGTACTAGAATTTGTACTTTACTAAGAAAGTGTAATCCCAAATATAACATATATAACATCCGTATTCATGTAACGACACAAGACCCGTTTATGTCATCGTTAACATATATATTCATGTAACGACACAAGACTCACTTATGGCAACCTGACAGTTTACATCTATATTCATGTAATGACACAGTCCACACAAGACTCACCTATGGCAACCTCCCCGTTAACATTTATATTCATGTAACGACACTGTCTAGACGCAACGTACCCACTTCCGTCTCACAGTTAACCCCCGTGAAGCCAGGGAGACAGGTGCACTGATACCGAACGTCCCCCCAAGAGTTGCAGGTGCCGCTGTTCTTGCAGGGCTGGGGACTGCATAAATTGCTGTCGCGATCACATCTGGAATAGAATTATTATCAAAAGATGACAGTCATTTCCTAAAGGTTGCTCTCAGCATTGAAATGGTTTCTGCGTAGAAATATTTCCTGGTCCATTGTTCAATGATTTCAAGTTTAATGTTTTACAGAAACAGTATCCCAAGTTGCCCACCTTGGTTGTGTGTACTGGCCACGAGAGGGGCACACACACTTGTTCCCACCAAGCAGGTCCCGGCACACGCTGTAGTCACGGCAGTCATTGGTTTCACAGTCATCCCTCAGATCCGTCTGGCAGTACTTGCCGCTGAAGTCTACACAGATTGTACAACATCGATAAAGTAACCTTTCTTTCTGTCTGTTCTGATTACCTCACATCATTCGCCGGTATACTCAATATGATATTGTTGATTGCCTTAATGCATTTTGCACACAACGTGTTCTACGCTGAAAACATAACTATTTATAAATTGGTGATTATCACAGTGGACTCATTTAGACGGAGTAGTCTATTAGCCCTTCAAGTGATTATCTTCAATCAATCAATCATCCTTTTTATTACCACAAGTTTACAAATACATGCAAAGCATCTTCTGGGGAATTTTTCAAAAATATATCACTCTTAGGCTATGGCTTGAAACAAATCCAGCAATGTTGTGCAGGTAAACTAATCATGTCATGTGACAGACATTATAATGGAAATACATTTACATAGATTTCTTAATTGCTTCATATTATGAGTTTCAAATAGGGCTGACATTTTATAATAGTTAGGGTTGTTTACATAATAATTCTTTAAATACATATTTCTGGAAGCAGTAAATTTATTACACTGAAATAAATAATGAAACTCATCTCCGAGTTGGGAGGGACATGACGGACAGAATCGTTTATTTGAGGGAATATTTTCCCAGCGACCTGTTTCAATCGGTAATTTATGGTTGGCGGTTTTAAATTTGATTAAAATATTACAGTGCTTTGTTCCTAATTTACGTTCCAGTAAAGAGATATCATAATGAGATTTCAGCATGTTGAATACTTACATGGTGTGTTCGCACAGTCTTTGTCAAAGTACTGCTGGGTTGTGCCCGTTGTAGTTTTCTTTCCAGCTTGTTCTGCGTTGAGTAAGACACACAAGTTGTTGTTGGTGAAGAAGCCGGTGGCGACACAGGCTGAGTTACTGATGCATTCATTGCTGCAGAGAGTCACTGAGGAACTAGCCAAGCTTCTGATGTAGTCAATGCCTGGATTGTAGTCAACCGCGTTCTTCACCATTTTGCATACCTCGGCTGAAAGGAATAACACGCCGATATATGCAATAAAGTTATAAACCATGTTGCATACCCTGGCTGAAAGGAATAACACACCGATATATTCAATAAGGTTATAAACCATGTTGCATACCCTGGCTGAAAGGAATAACACGCCGATATATGCAATAAAGTTATAACCATGTTGCATACCCTGGCTGAAAGGAATAACACGCCGATATATGCAATAAGGTTATAAACCATGTTGCATACCCTGGCTGAAAGGAATAACACGCCGATATATTCAATAAGGTTATAAACCATGTTACATACCCTGGCTGAAAGGAATAACACGCCGATATATGCAATAAAGTTATAAACCATGTTGCATACCCTGGCTGAAAGGAATAACACGCCGATATATTCAATAAAGTTATAAACCATGTTGCATACCCTGGCTGAAAGGAATAACACGCCGATATATGGAATAAAGTTATACACCATGTTGCATACCCTGGCTGAAAGGAATAACACGCCGATATATAACACGCCATACTCAAAGTTATAAACCATGTTGCATACCCTGGCTGAAAGGAATAACACGCCGATATATGCAATAAAGTTATACACCATGTTGAATACCCTGGCTGAAAGGAATAACACGCCGATATATTCAATAAAGTTATACACCATGTTGCATACCCTGGCTGAAAGGAATAACACGCCGATATATGCAATAAAGTTATAAACCATGTTGCATACCCTGGCTGAAAGGAATAACACGCCGATATATGCAATAAAGTTATAAACCATGTTGCATACCGTGGCTGAAAGGAATAACACGCCGATATATTCAATAAGGTTATAACCCATGTTGCACACCCTGGCTGAAAGGAATAACACGCCGATATATGCAATAAAGTTATACACCATGTTACACACCCTGGCTGAAAGGAATAACACGCCGATATATGCAATAAAGTTATAAACCATGTTGCATACCCTGGCTGAAAGGAATAACACGCCGATATATGCAATAAAGTTATAAACCATGTTGCATACCGTGGCTGAAAGGAATAACACGCCGATATATTCAATAAGGTTATAAACCATGTTGCATACCGTGGCTGAAAAGAATAACACGCCGATATATAATAAAGTTATACACCATGTTACATACCCTGGCTGAAAGGAATAACACGCCGATATATTCAATAAGGTTATAAACCATGTTACATACCCTGGCTGAAAGGAATAACACGCCGATATATGCAATAAAGTTATAAACCATGTTGCATACCCTGGCTGAAAGGAATAACACGCCGATATATGCAATAAAGTTATACACCATGTTGCATACCCTGGCTGAAAGGAATAACACGCCGATATATGCAATAAAGTTATACACCATGTTGCATACCCTGGCTGAAAGGAATAACACGCCGATATATTCAATAAAGTTATACACCATGTTACATACCCTGGCTGAAAGGAATAACACGCCGATATATGCAATAAAGTTATACACCATGTTGCATACCCTGGCTGAAAAAGGAATAACACGCCGATATATGCAATAAAGTTATACACCATGTTGCATACCCTGGCTGAAAGGAATAACACGCCGATATATGCAATAAAGTTATAAACCACCATGTTGCATACCCTGGCTGAAAGGAATAACACGCCGATATATTCAATAAAGTTATAAACCATGTTGCACACCCTGGCTGAAAGGAATAACACGCCGATATATGCAATAAAGTTATAAAGGAATGCATACCCTGGCTGAGGAATAATATATTCAATAAAGTTATAACCATGTTGCATACCCTGGCTGAAAGGAATAACACGCCGATATATTCAATAAAGTTATACACCATGTTGCATACCCTGGCTGAAAGGAATAACACGCCGATATATGCAATAAAGTTATACACCATGTTGCATACCCTGGCTGAAAGGAATAACACGCCGATATATGCAATAAAGTTATACACCATGTTGCATACCCTGGCTGAAAGGAATAACACGCCGATATATTCAATAAAGTTATACACCATGTTGCACACCCTGGCTGAAAGGAATAACACGCCGATATATGCAATAAAGTTATACACCATGTTGCATACCCTGGCTGAAAGGAATAACACGCCGATATATTCAATACAGTTATACACCATGTTGCATACCCTGGCTGAAAGGAATAACACGCCGATATATGCAATAAAGTTATAAACCATGTTACACACATTCTGGATGGTATTTCACGAACTCATGTTTGTCAACGGCTGGGTATTTGCTACAAGATCTTATACGTTAGGGTCGAAAGTCAAAGAATAATTTAGTGTTCTAAGCCATTTCATATACAGACATTGTGTTTTTCTCCTTCGTGATTCAACACGGCTGATTATGTTGTACTTGATCACTTCACGATTCCACGTAAATGTAATTTAGCTAAGGTTGGACCACTGAAGTAAATATAGATGCATGTGGTACCATAACTACTGTATATTGATCACCTACCAGCAGGGCATTGGCAGTCAAATCCCCCAAGTTTGGGTTTGCAGGTGGCTCCATTCAGACAGGGGCTAGACATGCAGTAGTCGATCTGAGTATCACACTTGTCCCCGGTATAGCCTGGACATACATAAGACAAGACAAAGCTGTGAGTCAGGTATAGGACAAAGCTTTGAGTCAGGTATAGGACAAGGCTGTGAGTCAGGTATAGGGCAAGCCTGTGAGTCAGGTATAGGACAAGGCTGTGAGGTAATCCACGTTATGAGAATATCCATGTGGCTAAAGTTTGAACTGTTAACAGCTGGACAGTCTATGAAAACATTTCGACATATAATAATGGTTGCCTAGTTTCACAGGTAAACTCCAGTCTATGAACACATTGAGACACACAGGAATGTCTCACTAGATTTGCAGGTACACACAAGTCTATGATATCATGATATCATTGAGATACACGGGAATTTCTCACTAGATTTACAGGTACACTCAAGGCTATGGTATCATTATACCCCCTTACATAAAGCGTGTACCCCCTTACATAAAATAACTCTCTCCTGGAACTTTCTGTAACCTGCTGGATTAGATTATGCTGAATTAGTTTATCCAGTCATGGCTGGTTCCTTGTAACCCAAGACTCCATACAAGGCCTTGGCTGGAAATCAAGGGTGACACGCAATATAGCTGGGACATTATGACTATATCATACGTATCTACCGGACCTTTCTGTAATATCATGGGTTACTTGAAGTTGCTAGACTTCTAGTTTGAATGTAGCGACTGGAACCCCACTTAACCCCACTGAACCCCACTGAACACCGCTGCACCCCACTGAACCCCACTACACCCCACTGCACCCCACTACACCCCACTGAACCTCACTGCACCCCACTACACCCCACTGAATCCCACTGAACCCCACTACACCCCACTGCACCCCTATGCACCCCACTGAATCCCACTGCACCCCACTGAACCCCACTGCACCCCACTGGACCCTCACTGAACCACACTGAACCCCACTACACCCCACTGAACCCCACTGCACACCACTGAACCCAACTTAACCCCACTGCACCCTACTGAACCCCCACCACTGCATCCCCTACTGCACCCCACTGCACCCCACTGAACCCCACTACACCCCACTGCACCCCACACTACACCCTACTGCGTCCCCACTACACCCAACTACACCCCACTGCATCCCACTGAACCCCACTGCACTCCAACTGAACCCCACTGCACCCCCACTACACCCCACTACACCCCACTGGACCCCACTGCACCCCACTGAACCCAACTTAACCCCACTGCACCCCCACTGAACCCCCCACTACACCCCACTGCATCCCCCACTACACCCTTCTTTCACCCCACTGCACCCCACTGAACCCCCCACTACACCCCACACTACACCCCACTGCACCCAACTGAACCCCACTGCACCCCCCACTACACCCCACTGCACCCAACTACACCCCTCCCACTACCACTCCTTTTGCACCCCCACTGCACCAAACTGAACCTCACTGCACCCCCACTATACCCAACTGAACCCCTGCACTACACACCCCACTGAACCCCCACTCAAACCCAACTGCACCCAACTGCACCCGCCCACTACCCCCACTACACCCCACTGCACCCAACTACACCCCACTACTACCCTTTGCACCCCACTGCACCCAACTGAACCTCACTGCACTGCCCACTACACCCAACTGAACCCCACTGGACCCCCACTACACCCCACTGCACCCCCACTACCACCCCCCACTGCACCCCACTGCACCCCTGAACCCCACTGAACCCCCAGCAACACCCCTCTTCACCCCACTGCACCCACTGAACCCCCACCCAAATGCACTGCCCCAGCTAGCACCCTTCTTCACCCCACTGCACCCAACTGAACCCTACTACTGCCCACTACACCCAAATACACCCCACTGCACCCAACTGAACCCCTGCACCCCTACACCACCCACTGCACCCCACCCACTGCACTCCAACTGGAACCCCACTGCACCCCCACTACACCCTACTGCGTTCCCCACTGCACCCCACTGCACCCCACTGAACCCCTGCACCCCACTGCAGCCCACCGCGTCCCACTACACCCCACTGAACCCCACTACAACCCAAATACACCCCACTGCACCCAACTGAACCCCACTGCATCCCCCACTACACCCCTACTGCGTCCCCCACTACACCCCACTACACCCCCATTACACCCCCTGCACCCCACTGCACCCCCACTGCACCCCCACTACCCCACCCCACTACACCCCACTGAACCCTACTAAACCCCACTGAACCCCACTACACCCCACTGAACCCAACTACACCCCACTACCACCCTTTTGCACCCAACTGAACCTCACTGCACCCCCCACTACACCCAACTGAACCCCACTGGACCCCCACTACACCCCACTGCACCCGACTACACCCCACTGCACCCCACTACCACCCACTGCACCCCGCTGCACCCAACTGAACCCCACTGCACCCCCCACTACACCCCACTGCACCCCCACTACACCCCACTACCACCCACTGCACCCCACTGCACCCAACTGCACCCTACTGCACCCTACTGCACCCAACTGAATCTTGACAGAAACACTTGTTTACAACATGGATGCACAATTCACTTGTTTTGAGGGAAATGCGAGAGTGTGTCGGTATAAGGACATAAGGACAAATACTCAACTGTGTTTCAGATAGACATGGGGGCATGCATGGATAGCTCACCTGGTTTACAGGTACACACGAGTCGATGATAGATATAGGTACACGTAGATGTGCCTTCAGAAGAACAAGCATCGGCGCATAGTGTTGTGTCTGAAATGTACATATGAGTATAAAAATAGCGCCGTTGTCAATTGTTTTGTTCATTACCCAACACTATTAGTCAACAACAACACTTAAATCAAATAAGTGATATAAACTACATCTTCATTTCTGATAATGTTATGATATAATCTCAACTTATTTGGATAATGACTAAAAGTTTATATATTGAATCATGATATGTTCCCAAAGCGTGGCAGCAGTTCATGGTAAGATGAAGCTGACTTACTTCCGGGTTTACAGTCACTAAGTGTCTTTGAGCCTGTCTGTTCTGTGATCTGGTCTGTGCCGCACTCCTTACACCGTGTCTGTGCCGTGGAGTCTTGGTAAAAATGGCGAGGACACGGTGTACAGGGAGCGTAGCCAGTCACGGAGTACTGACCACTGGGACACGGTGCTGGAACAGACGAATAACACCATAGAGTAGCACAAGGGATGATGATAAAACATGCAGATATCGTTTCGTGGTATGTTTGTCACACCGGCAAAACAATGTCACGTTCATTCATGTCAGATAATTGGGTTGGTGAGGATTGTGCCTGTGTTTCACACCCTGTATGTATGTAACACAATATAACAGGCGTGGTCCTCAGCAGCTACAGACTCCCAGGGCCAGCTGAGTTAAACTAACGTGTGACGTAGGTACAAGATGTTAAACCAACCTTTCGTGGACTTTGCGTTGTGTACTTTTATTTTACAATGCGTTTGTGTTGACTTGCTCGCAACTCAAAACTCAGTGACCAGTCTTTCAATCGGGCATAACGCTTATTGGGAAATAGCATAGACAAACTGAGCAATAATAATAGTTTATTTCAAAGAAATACGTAGATAAATAGAAACAAAAACTCCACAACTTGTAAATACCACCCACAATTCCTTTACTGACAAACATTCAGCCTTTCGATACATCAAATCCTTAAACATATCTTATAACACAACCCAAACCAACCCTTCTTAACCGAACATTACCCCCCTAGTGTACAGTACACAACCCTTCTGTGCACTTAAAAGAACCCACGAATCCGTTGGTAAATGACCAGATGGTGACCACATGAATACGTGCAAACACCTAGTTGCGGGTACAGCAACGTGAAGTAAACGTGGACAAAGTACTGTGACTATGTGTCCAAGTCCACCCAGCTGTGAATGGGTACCTCGCTAGGATGTGAAAGCCGCAATAACTCGGCGCGCCTAGTGGTTGCAAGAGTTGTATGATCCCCGGGGAGTTGAGATTGAAAATACGATGAGCCCGTTGAGATTGACACCCAGTGATCGAGGGTGAAATATACCAGCGACTTGAGCATAAACTAGTTGCGTGGATATGTGCGCTATATAAATATCCTATAATAATAAAAAATAATAACATTACCCCATAATTACAGCCTAAATCATATTTCGTTTCTCACGCTAATTTCCCCCAGCCCGACTTAACGCTAGGATAAGATACACAGTCCCTACTTCTGATACAACCACACAGTCTCTACATCTGATACAACCACACAGTCTCTACATTTGATACAACCACAGTCTCTATATCTGACACAACCACACAATCCCTACATCTGATACAACCACACAGTCTCTACATCTGACACAACCACAGTCTCTACATCTGACACAACCTCACAATCCCCACATCTGACACAACAACAGAGTCTCTACATCTGACACAACAACAGTCTCTACATCTGACACAACAACAGAGTCTCTACATCTGACACAGCCACACAGTCTCTACATCTGACACAACATCAGAGTCTCTACTTCTGACACAACCACACAGTCTCTACATCTGACACAACAACAGAGTCTCTACATCTGACACAACCACACGGTGTCTACATCTGACACAACCACACAGTCTCTACATCTGACACAACCACACAGTCTCTTCGTCTGACACAACCACACAGTCTCTACATCTGACACAACCACACAGTCTCTTCCTCTGACACAACCACACAGTCTCTACATCTGACACAACCACACAGCCTCTTCCTCTGACACAACCACACAGTCTCTACATCTGACACAACCACACAGTCTCTACATCTGACACAACCACACAGTGTCTACGTCTGATTCAACCACACAGCTTCTACATCTGACACAACCACACAGCTTCTACATCTGATACAACCACACAGTCTGGACATCTGACACAACCACACAGTCTCTATATCTGACACAACCACACATTATCTACATCTGACAAAACCAAATTCTCTACATCTGACACAACCACACAGCTTCTACGTCTTACACAACCACACAATCCCTACATCTGACACAACCACACAGTCTCTACGTCTGACACGACCAAATTCTCTACATCTGACACAACCACACAGCTTTTACATCTTACACAACCACACAATCTCTACATCTAACACAACCGCCCAATCCCTACATTTGACACAACCACACAGTCTCTACATCTGACACAACCACACAGACTCTTCATCTGACAAAACCACACAGTCTCTTCATCTGACACAACCACACAGTCTCTTCCTCTGACGCAACCACACAATCCCTACATCTGACATAACCATAGGGACTCTACTGCTGACACAAGCACATCGTCTTTATATCTATTCTGGACAAATATAGTTAGGGATATAAGTATATTTGGGAAATTATGAATGTGCAATTTTTTAAAGTAAAATTGATATTTCATACTTATCCTGACTCATGATCTTTTGCTTATCTCCTTCTTCTATGCGAATGTTAGTGGAACACTTGAATCCCTTGTAGTTCCCTAAAGCGGACGTAAAAATTCTCTCACCCACGAGTTTCCTCCTTTTCAAGCGCAAACAGTCGTGTGACGTGCCATGCTTGCCGCTCTCTCCTGAATAAGCCCATGCACCTGGGTTTGCTAGGAAAGCCGAAGTGTCTTCTGCGGGGAGGTTGGGAGGGCTTGACCTCATGATTCAGGATAAGTATAAAATATCGATATTACATATTTTTCCCTATCCTGACTCATGATCTTTTGCTTATAGAATCCGACGGATTGGTGGTGGGTCAAGCCACTTCGTGGATTCATCAGCTGTCCTTTGATACGTCCTGTATCTCCCCCCCCCCCCCATGGGAACTGCGTAACGGCGCTTCCTAGATTATATTCTTCCAACTTCCGTTATAAACTCGGGGGGACCACAATCTTGTCTTACTTCTCTCTCAGACAAGTGAATCTTCTAGATTCATGTGGATTTTAGATATACTAGTATCTTCTATGTACTGGTAAGATCGTTACCCGTACAGAGTCTTAATCACTCATGCTAGTCTCGTCTAGACTGTGCGCATGGACTTTCAAACTAAAACTTCTTCGTAATAAAGTAAACAAGTCAACGTGATAAAGGGTGAGATTTCCAACTCAGCGCCTTTTGTGGGACAGTTAATTGTAGTGCTACAAACACGTGGCCCAAACTGGTGAATGCCGGAGACGTTGTCAAAACATACAAGTGTATTAGAAATGCTAATATCGTGTTCATCCTCTTCAGTTCTACTCCTAGATGTACTATTTCTATCTACGCCATCAGGTTAACGTTTGTCTTGAAGGATACTTAAAAAAGTATTTTGAGAAATATTTCGTATCAATGGCTACATTATTTCTTTTTATATATAGTTTCTGTTAATCTGTATTCCAGAAATATAAGAATGTCAGTTCATCCATTTTATCGTTTTATAACCATTAAAACCATCATTACTCATACATTAGCCATAGCTTTGTGTAATAATTTGTGTAATCAATTATTGAACCATAACCTTACAATGCACAATTTGCACAACTCACGTATTTCTACGCATTTCTAAAAGAATCATTGCTTCAATTATTTGATTTACAGATACGGATTGTGGACCCACTGACTTGTTGGAAATTGACAAGAGGCTTGGATCGGTAATAACATATAATTACATAATACCATCTCCAATATGCTCCTAATTTCATTTAAGGAAATCTTATAACAATATTTTTTTATTCGTTTAGCCTTAAGTCAAAAACAAGTAAACACTAAATTGATATATAGAATAAACCTTTTCATCTTTGACAAAAATATATTTGCATACGTGTGTTATTTTTGTTGATTTTGTGTTTTACTAAGCATTGTATGGTTTATTCCTAAATAATCTGGTTTGTAAACAAGCAGAACTTTGCTTATATCAATACCTCACCAGTACATATAACATTTAAACAAAATTCACAATAACTTGATACACAACACGACAAATTAAATCATATATGTGCGTTGTAGGTGCTTATAAACCTTGAGCTTGCTGTTACACTAAGCATTGTTTGTACACGTATTGTATTTGAAGGATGATGCAGAGTCTGTGTGACGACGAGGATGGCAACGGTGTTGTGCCAGTCATCATCCTGGACTCTTCACATTCACCAACGACATCTAAAGTAGAGCAAAACACCTTGTACACCATATGTTTGCCGTTGTGGACTGGTTCGCAGACGCATCTGGGAGGTTCATTGAACCTTCATCTTCCATGATGATAGAGTCTTCTGAGTGTAAAGATTTTCGCGAACATCTGCAGTTGTAAACCTCTGGGGCGTAGCTCAGGTCGGAAGGTTTGCGAACGTTGACTGCCATCGTAGGGTTCTGCCGAGCTGCTGCGTCTTCGACGAACCAACGCTCCGTCAAGGCCGTCACCTGCGTTGTAAACTGCCTCATAAAGTCGCCCGGGTCGAAGTTCTGCGTTGTAGGCTGGAACTGCTGCGGCGTGGACGAAGCGTTCGCGAATGCTGTGGAGGTCGACTGCGTCGCTCTTCTAACCGATCTCAGAGGTACTTCAGGTATCGGCGGGTCAGCAAAAGACGTCTGCTTCGGCAGACGTCACAAACGATCTCTGATGAGATGTTTTACCGGAACGAAGGTCTGGATGCAGATGATTTCTTCTGCGTCGAGGTCGATGAAGACGTCTTCTTCTTAGACTGCGATGACAACGTCTCGGACGAGTTAGACCTCTTCTTAGCAGCAGTTAAATCACGAACAACAGCAGACGACTGCCCCTGCAACGTACTCGGCAAATCACTAGCATTATGTATTTCTGCAGTAGAAGACAACACACAGTTACCGGCATTATCTCCGGTTTATCGACAGTGACTTGAGATGACTTCCTCACCTGGTCCATGGTACGTCTATAGATGTACGATACATATTGATCTGATAAATCTGATAAATTAATACAGTATCTGTAACGCAAGCTGGAAGAACATGGATTATTGCATGACGGGCACTGGAGGTGAGGATCAGTCACTGATAGCCGGTACCTGTAACACTGCAAGCTTCATCACATGTAAACAAACTACAATATGATGAATAAATGTCACAAAATATGTTTGACACACGATGAAAACTAAATATAACCAAAAAACTATACACAGTTTAAATTAGATAAAGGATCTAAATATTAAAGGATATGGTGCCGTATACGGGGCTCCAGTGCTCGCCCAACCATCCGCATGGGAGATGAAAGAGAGAGCGGCAAGCATGGCACGTCACATGACTGTTTGCGCGGGAAAAGGGAGGCAACTCGTGGGTCAGAGAACGTTTACGTCCGCTTTAGGGAACTACAAGGGATTCAAGTGTTCCACTAACATTTGCATAGAAGGAGGAGATAAGCAAGAGATCATACGACAGGATAAGGAAAAATAATGATCTGTTTATTCATTGACACACTGATAAAATATCAATCATAAAAATACCAATGTCCCTAACTTATTTTATCCAGTATCTAAGAATAATACACCTTACCTCTACACGCTGATATGCTGGTGGTGCCCTCTACATACAGGGTGGAGCCTCCATCTGGACATGGTAAGCAATGAGTGGCGTTCACCCAGTACCTATCTTCTTGGCACTCATCACATGGCTGCTGCCCTGTTGTAGAAAAGAACCCAGGACGACACTTACCTGAAACAACACAGTCAGCAGTGTACTAGTGTTAACACAACAACAAATTCACACCTGAAGCACTATCACGGCAGTTAGTTTCAATAGTTGTGTATTCTTTCAAATACAAGCAGGTGAACATCGCACTCACTGACACATCTTGCACTGCTGGTCCGTGGGGTCAGTGAGTACATGTTGCTGCCACAACTCTTACAGGAGGGTTGTCCGGGCTGGTCCTGATACTGACCGTCAGGGCACTCAACACAACCTCCACTGGGGGACGACGAGTATCCGTGGGGACACGGTACTGAAACATACAGAGATATCTGTTGAAAGACAGCAGCGCGGTACTGAAACATACAGACATATCTGTTGAAAGACAGCAGCGCGGTACTGAAACATACAGACATATCTGTTGAAAGACAGCAGCGCGGTACTGAAACATACATACATATCTGTTGAAAGACAGCAGCGCGGTACTGAAACATACATACAGACATATCTGTTGAAAGACAGCAGCGCGGTAGTGAAACATGACATATCTGTTGACAGCAGCGCGGTACTGAAACATACAGACATATCTGTTGAAAGACAGCAGCGCGGTAGTGAAACATACAGACATATCTGTTGAAAGACAGCAGCGCGGTAGTGAAACATACATACATATCTGTTGAAAGACAGCAGCGCGGTAGTGAAACATACAGACATATCTGTTGAAAGACAGCAGCGCGGTAGTGAAACATACAGACATATCTGTTGAAAGACAGCAGCGCGGTAGTGAAACATACAGACATATCTGTTGAAAGACAGCAGCGCGGTACTGAAACATACAGACATATCTGTTGAAAGACAGCAGCGCGGTAGTGAAACATACAGACATATCTGTTGAAAGACAGCAGCGCGGTAGTGAAACATACGCCCTTACGCAGCGGCGTTTTAGTCTGAATAATGATCTACTAAAAATAGCAAACTGGGCAAAAACCTGGAAAATCGATTTCAACCCATCAAAAACTAAAACAGTCTTATTCAGTAGGAAATCAAATTCAAGTCCTTATCCAAGCTTGTTTTTCAACGACGTTTGACTTGAAGAAACATTTAGGTATAACTCTTCAAAACGATTGTACATGGGATATTCATATAAACCATATCGTTAAGAGTCAGCCTCATGATAAACTGCTTAAGAAGCCTTAAATATCGACTAACGAGAAACACCCTGAATCGTATGTATACGTCGTTTATACTTCCGATCTTTGACTACTGTAGCCATATTTATGACAATTGTACCAAACCCAAGCAACAATCTTGGAAAACAAGCACTTAGACGCGTTACGTACGATATGTGGAGCTGTTCGCGGCACCAGTCACGATAAAATCTACGCTGAAACTTCCTCTATTTCTCTTCGTAAAAGAAGAAGAATAGTTAAACTAGTCACATTTTTTTCAAAATGTATAATCACAGATTACCCCACTATCTAAACGAACTCGTCCCTCCCTTCGTCTCTCAAGTCAGTAACTATCCGTTACGTAACGCATCGCATTTGCAAACTACTGCCTGCCGTACTGCTCTATATGACAATTCATTGCTACCGGACGCTGTAAGTTTATGGAATGCTTTACCGCAAAATATTAAATCTCTTACAGACATCAATGATTTTAAATCTGCCTTAAGTCCCAGAGCTAAAGACATTCATTTCGATCCAAATATAGGTTCAAGAGTTTGTCAAATCCTCCACTGTCGCTTAAGGTTAGGATGTAGCGATCTCAACGCTGACAAATACAACAGACATATATCAGAGAGAGCAGATTGTTTCTGTGGCCACCCTACTGAAGATGCACGTCATTATTTCTTCGTATGTCCCAGATTTGATGCTGTAAGAGTAAATAAATGTTATTATACCAGTGGCTTTTCATTAGAAACAATCTTATACGGAACGTCTTCCATAAACCCACAAATTCAATCACATATCTTAAAATCAGTCCATCTATTTATAATTGAAACTAGCTGCTGAAACTGAGCAAGTCCTACACTAAAACCTACAATTCTCAAAGCTATACTACTATGGATCCCGACTGCAGATGCCATGAATGTATACAACCATCATGATTTTAAGTTTCCGACTACATGTCATACCATCTACTTTCATTTTAGATATCATCTATTTATGTATATTGGAGCGGTCTTCATATAAATTCTTTTGAGCTTGTTGACCAATCCAGTTCATGAAAATTCTGGCGTTGCGTTTTCATGAAATAAATATGTTTATACCACATACAGACATATCTGTTGAAAGACAGCAGTGCGGTATGGAAACATACAGGCATATCAGCTGAAATATTCCATTTGTTGAAAGGATTGTGATAGGGTTGGTTATATTATTGAATTATGAAAGAAACTTCTAATTGATGAGATGTAAATTAACAAAAGTATGAGTGTTAGATAGTATCAATATTTTTTAGTTTTATTTTAAATTCTTGTGTGAAGGGGGCTACATGTGGCTGAAATAATCCATCGAAATTAATGATTAATTCAGTTTTGTGTATTCACGAGTGTTGGTGAGCATCTCATTATCGTAACGCAAATTACATCATTGCCCCCAGAGATATTCAGGCGTGACTGTTTCCGGAATGGTTGAATTAATATGATAAAACGTTGTCATACCATTGATGAAACTTTTCAGATACAATGGCTAAAACTGCTGCTCAAAAATACCATGATTATAGAGAGAGAAAGAAAACATGGGAGCAGCATATCTCCAAATAGAGATCGAGCTTTTATCGAAACTGCGTTATAGTTTTGATGCTTGACGATTTTGTGTCGTTTTCATTAAAAGATGATTGTCAAAGACTGATTATAAGTTTTCTTGCTGAAAAAGTTTAATTACTCCATTTTTGTATATATTAGACTTGAAACAAATTAACTCGCCTCCATAGTTCGATGGATCTGTGTACAATGTTGATCTACGAACTAGTGAGCGTATCACGCAATTCAGCTGGAATAAAAAGATCGTCAGCATACAGGGTACCGTAACCTAAAATACAACAATTGGTGGTCATATATTTGTGGACACATGTTGAGAAATCTGGTCGTGCCTGAGTGTGAATATTTGTCAGAAAATTAGTTCAGATTAACTGAAAAAATACCGCCAAGCGGATATCATTGACGTTTCTTTTTCGTAGTAGTAGACCCCAATTGTCCCAGTTTACTGAGAACGAGTGATTTATGTATGGTAGACCATTTTGCCATTGGCCTTGGAGCGAACAGTGAAGTTACTGCCACAGCTAGCTTGGAGAACGATAAGTGTTTTAAAGTTTCCCACTGGAAACTTTCTCCCAGACTCCTTTATGTTTACTCTGGCTACCCAGTGGCGTCTGCAGTGAGATTAATTTACCCACCGCGCACGCAGGAAAACAAGCTCAGATCCATTTTAATCTTTCTCCTTTATGGGTCGAAGATAATGATTTCTGAGACGAACGATACCAGATCGTTCATATAACGTAATCCTAGTTTTACCACTTATCCTCTTGTATCTGTATACAAATGAATACAAATGTCTCATCCAATCAAGCAGACAACTTACGACACTTCTTGCTTCCTCCGACGTCTCTCAGCCGGTACCCGACACTACAGGATTGTCCGGACCGTGTGAGATTAACGCCCGTGGAACTGTCCTGCACAGTGAAGTTACATCCTCCGTCTACCAGCCCAAACAACACTGTCTTCTGTAGGTTGATATTGCCGGCGCAAAGTTCCAGAGCTGCATTCTGTCCATCGTTATTTTCCAGTTTTAGCGTCAGTTCCACCTTATGCTGAAAGGGACATAGGGTTTGACAATATCAGTGTGGTGATGAGATGACACAAGGTTTACAAGCTGAGTAAAAAAAAGTTGTTCATTCCAAAACTAAATAAAAGAACGTCTCTGAAATTGTCTGGAAATACTCTGGCAATACTCAATACTTGTGTACAGAACAAAGCTGCAGACATGTGTACATACATCAAAAAGAGCGGGAACACCAACAAAGATGGCCTCGGCGACACTGAAGCGGTATTTGGCGTTCAGCTGTCCCTGAATCTGACACAGATTGTTGATGCCGGATGTTGTGGGGGATATCACATCGTTATAAAACTTCCCCAGGTTATCGCGGCATGCACTGCTGGAGGGCACCTGGTCCTTGGACTTCAGATCTAGGCTGACCTTGTACGTGTACTCAGTGGTTGATGAAGCTGTGGTAAAATGCGTACATTTGCTGTTACATTATGGAGATTAAATCACTAAATACAGCGAAGCGGGTTCGGGTGATACTGACATTAAGTGAACTTGTGGATACATACAGCATCAAAATGACACCATTTGTGAAGGCCATGACAGTGGTATCACTGACAACTGATACATATGGCATCAATTTAACACTGTATTGTGAAGGCCTTGACAGTGGTATCACTGACAACTGATGCATACATCAAGATAACACTGTATTGTGGAGGCCTTGACTGTAACATCACTGACAACTGATACATACAACATCAAGATAACACTGCATTGTGAAGGCCTTGATAGTGGTATCACTGACAACTGATACATATGGCATCAAGATAACACTGTATTGTGAAGGCCTTGACAGTGGTATCACTGACAACTGATACATATGGCATCAAGATAACACTGTATTCTGAAGGCCTTGACAGTGGTATCACTGACAACTGATACATATGGCATCAAGATAACACTGTATTGTGAAGGCCTTGACAGTGGTATCACTGATAGCTGATGCATATAGCATCAAGATAACACTGTATTGTGAAGGCCTTGACATCGTATAACTGACAACTGATACATATGGCATCAAAATAACACTGTATTGTGAAGGCCTTGACAGTGGTATCACTGACAACTGATACATACATCAAGATAACACTGTATTGTGAAGGCCTTGACAGTGGTATCACTGACAACTGATACATATGGCGTCAAGATAACACTGTATTGTGAAGGCCTTGACAATGGTATCACTGACATTTGATACATACAACATCAAGATAACACTGCATTGTGAAGGCCATGACAGTGGTATCACTGACAACTGATACATATGGCATCAAGATAACACTGTATTGTGAAGGCCTTGACAATGGTATCACTGACAACTGATACATACATCAAGATAACACTGTATTGTGAAGGCCTTGACAGTGGTATCACTTACAACTGATACATATGGCATCAAGATAACACTGTATTGTGAAGGCCTTGACAGTGGTATCACTGACAACTGATACATATGGCATCAAGATAACACTGTATTGTGAAGGCCTTGACAGTGGTATCACTGACAACTGATACATATGGCATCAAGATAACACTGTATTGTGAAGGCCTTGACAGTGGTATCACTGACAACTGATACATATGGCATCAAGATAACACTGTATTGTGAAGGCCTTGACAGTGGTATCACTGACAACTGATACATATGGCATCAAGATAACACTGTATTGTGAAGGCCTTGATAGTGGTATCACTGACAACTGATACATATGGCATCAAAATAACACTGTATTGTGAAGGCCTTGACAGTGGTATCACTGACAACTGATACATACATCAAGATAACACTGTATTGTGAAGGCCTTGACAGTGGTATCACTGACAACTGATACATATGGCGTCAAGATAACACTGTATTGTGAAGGCCTTGACAATGGTATCACTGACATTTGATACATACAACATCAAGATAACACTGCATTGTGAAGGCCTTGACAGTGGTATCACTGACAACTGATACGTATTGCATCAAGATAACACTGCATTGTGAAGGCCTTGACAGTGGTATCACTTACAACTGATACATATGACACCAAGATAACACTGGATTGTGAAAGCCTTGACAGTGGTATCACTGACAACTGATACATATGGCATCAAGATAACACTGTATTGTGAAGGCCTTGACAGTAGTATCACTGACAACTGATACATACAACATCAAGATAACACTGCATTGTGAAGGCCTTGACAGTGGTATCACTGACAACTGATACATATGGCATCAAGATAACACTGTATTGTGAAGGCCTTGACAGTGGTATCACTTACAACTGATACATATGGCATCAAGATAACACTGTATTGTGAAGGCCTTGACAGTGGTATCACTGACAACTGATGCATACATCAAGATAACACTGTATTGTGGAGGCCTTGACTGTAGCATCACTGACAACTGATACATACAACATCAAGATAACACTGCATTGTGAAGGCCTTGATAGTGGTATCACTGACAACTGATACATATGGCATCAAGATAACACTGTATTCTGAAGGCCTTGACAGTGGTATCACTGACAACTGATACATATGGCATCAAGATAACACTGTATTCTGAAGGCCTTGACAGTGGTATCACTGACAACTGATACATATGGCATCAAGATAACACTGTATTGTGAAGGCCTTGACAGTGGTATCACTGATAGCTGATGCATATAGCATCAAGATAACACTGTATTGTGAAGGCCTTGACATCGTATAACTGACAACTGATACATATGGCATCAACATAACACTGTATCGTGAAGGCCTTGACAGTGGTATCACTGACAACTGATACATACATCAAGATAACACTGTATTGTGAAGGCCTTGACAGTGGTATCACTGACAACTGATACATATGGCGTCAAGATAACACTGTATTGTGAAGGCCTTGACAATGGTATCACTGACATTTGATACATACAACATCAAGATAACACTGCATTGTGAAGGCCATGACAGTGGTATCACTGACAACTGATACATATGGCATCAAGATAACACTGTATTGTGAAGGCCTTGACAATGGTATCACTGACAACTGATACATACATCAAGATAACACTGTATTGTGAAGGCCTTGACAGTGGTATCGCTTACAACTGATACATATGGCATCAAGATAACACTGTATTGTGAAGGCCTTGACAGTGGTATCACTGACAACTGATACATATGGCATCAAGATAACACTGTATTGTGAAGGCCTTGACAGTGGTATCACTGACAACTGATACATATGGCATCAAGATAACACTGTATTGTGAAGGCCTTGACAGTGGTATCACTGACAACTGATACATATGGCATCAAGATAACACTGTATTGTGAAGGCCTTGACAGTGGTATCACTGACAACTGATACATATGGCATCAAGATAACACTGTATTGTGAAGGCCTTGATAGTGGTATCACTGACAACTGATACATATGGCATCAAAGATAACACTGTATTGTGAAGGCCTTGACAGTGGTATCACTGACAACTGATACATACATCAAGATAACACTGTATTGTGAAGGCCTTGACAATGGTATCACTGACAACTGATACATATGGCGTCAAGATAACACTGTATTGTGAAGGCCTTGACAGTGGTATCACTGACAACTGATACATACAACATCAAGATAACACTGCATTGTGAAGGCCTTGACAGTGGTATCACTGACAACTGATACGTATTGCATCAAGATAACACTGCATTGTGAAGGCCTTGATAGTGGTATCACTTACAACTGATACATATGACACCAAGATAACACTGTATTGTGAAGGCCTTGACAGTGGTATCACTGACAACTGATACATATGGCATCAAGATAACACTGTATTGTGAAGGCCTTGACAGTGGTATCACTGACAACTGATACATACATCAAGATAACACTGTATTGTGAAGGCCTTGACAGTAGTATCACTGACAACTGATACATACAACATCAAGATAACACTGCATTGCGAAGGCCTTGACAGTGGTATCACTGACAACTGATACATATGGCATCAAGATAACGCTGTATTGTGAAGGCCTTGACAGTGGTATCACTTACAACTGATACATATGGCATCAAGATAACACTGTATTGTGAAGGCCTTGACAGTGGTATCACTGACAACTGATACATATGACATCAAGATAACACTGTATTGTGAAGGCCATGACATCAAGATAACACTGTATTGTGAAGGCCATGATATCAAGATAACACCGTATTGTGAAGGCCATGACATCAAGATAACACTGTATTGTGAAGGCCATGACATCAAGATAACACCGTATTGTGAAGGCCATGACATCAAGATAACACTGTATTGTGAAGGCCTTGACATCAAGATAACACTGTACTGTGAAGGCCTTGACATCAAGATAACACTGTATTGTGAAGGCCATGACAGTTGAATCACTGACAACTGATACATATGACATCAAGATAACACTTTATTGTGAAGGCCATGACAGTGGTTGTGAAGGACATGACAGTGGTTGTGAAGGCCATGACATCGTATAACTGACAACCATTCCACCTACGTAAACAGTCCTCGAGAGGTAAAGATGGTGACCAGAGATTCTCTCCCGAACAGTTGTATGTACGACTTGTGGAGCCGTCGGCAAGGGCATAACCATTTTGCAGGTGACGACAGAGGAGAGGATGCTGCTGTCGCTGTTGTTGGAGCGAGTAATGACGGCGTTCTGTAGACTGTTGGTCAGCTCGTGGAAACATTTCCCAGCTGAAAGAGGAAGTCCCCGACATATCACCGAATATCGTTTACATAGAAGAATGTCGTATGTCAGTACTCTAAGTGTAAAGGCAAATTTTATATCTATAACCCTGCAAGTGGTAGTAACAAGTTGAGAAATGTGCTGTCATAATGAGACTGCAACCACTGTCGACAGATGTGGTAATAGGCAACGGCTTTGAACTGGTATCAATACAGTTGTATGCAATTGCTTTGTACATGAACCCTTTCATTTGAACTTCTTTGAGTGTCATTTTAGAAGTTGGAGAGTCAGGACCATCTTTATGGATGAAAAACTTCTCTATTCAGGGGTGCGACGTTTCGATACAGTTTCTTGTGTCGTTGTCATGCATAAATAAATAAATAAATATAAATAAAGAACAACAGACATACATATAAATAGCCACGATACAAAGAAAGAAAAAATTGTCAGCATAAAAGAACAGACCCAGTACAATGATCAGGCATCAGGCTTATGAGACACAATAAATCAGTTTAAAAACATTAAGATACACATACATAATAAATAGCTTAGCATAATAAATAGCATTATACCATACCTCTATACCCTCAGAAACACCCTCTCACCAAGTACACATGGTTTAGTCTCCATTCACCTACAGCTTATTTCGCCTACATCCCATTTCGCATACAAAAACAATGTAGGCTAATTGGGATTAGAAAATGCACCCTTACTCTTATAATGAACCTGACTCACTGGTCAGTGCCATACTAATTAGGTAAATCTTCCAAATTATCCTTACTCATGTCTGAATTACTTTTTAACGACACACATTTTGAAAAAGTAAGCATAAAAGGGTAATAACAGCAAATCATAACTTACCCATTGAAACAGGCCGTTGGAGCAATATTCAAAAACGTGATTATTTATTTATTTATTTATTCTCACTTTCTAAATGCAAGAGTTAAATATTTAAAGCCATATTTTTATTCAAAATCAATTTTTCATAAAATGTATACATTATTCCATAACAATAAGAAAGGTATTCTCAGAAAACTGTAATATTATCATAAATTTTTCTAAGAATCTTCGGTAAAAATACTCCATCTAAATATTTCTATGATCCTATGCAATCTATTTTGCAGATAGATTTGCAATCTATCTATATATATAATGCATTACTTATTCATCTGTATATTTGAAATACTCGACTGCACATACATTGTATATAACTATATGAATATATTAATTGTAACATATTTGTACCCTCATATGCCGCTGTCTCCGGCCTGAGTTGAAATAAAGTTCAGTTCAGTTCAGTTAAAAAAAGTAAAAGGGATTAATGCACAAGCTACATTGTGAAAGCAATGATGATATGTAGTTAATTTCTCACTGTAAAATACTCAGTTGTTATAAGGATATGTAGTTGAGCAAAGAGGATTGGTGCATCCACTAAGACGTTCAAACAAGGTTATAATAAGATACTCAGTTCTCTGCTACTAATAGGCTTTAAACCAACTAAACCATATAAAATGGAGCGTTCGCCAAGCACTGACAGTCACAATGGCTAACCTGCAAAGGGCAGAATTCATCTTGTCTCAGAGAGGAGGAAGACAGGTACTACATGATGGCCATAAGTATCGACTGAATGTTTTGAGACAAACAAGCCACACACTGGAAATGCGTCATAGATAAATGTAAAGGCTAGTGAAGTACCATTGGCGACCACGTATCTTCCGTCACAGAGCACAATCACCCTCCTCTGATGAATGAAGAAGAGACCAGACTCCTTACCAGACTGAGACAATGTGTTCGACATGAAGTGAGAATGGACATCCGCACAAATAAACTTCCTTAACACTAAGCATGTGTAATATGATGTTATATGATGTCAATACCATTGTGATCGGAAAATGGACAATTAACAGTGTAAATAAATAACAGACAAATAACAGAAATAAATTCTTTAAAAATGTCTTTTTGTCCTTTAACTACTTCAACTAGAAGAGTCCACTTTTAGATCATAGGGGTGCCACTAGTTTACTATTGCGTAATCAACAGTCAACAGACCATGAAATGTTGTTTTAAGACTGTAGGCATATTGGTATGTAGGCGAAATGAGAACATGCCGTACACATACTTACACACACACACACACACACACACACACACACACACACACACACACACACACACACACTCGGGCCCCACTCACATCACACACGACACTCACACACACACACTCCTTCTACAGTACATACACACACACAACCACACACTTAAGATATATTCATGATCACCCAAATTGGATTGCAGAAACAACTTAAGATATAACATGATAAAATTGGATTGAAATAATACCAAAAGCCAAAATATAAGGATATACCTTACAGTCTTGTGCGACGACGAAGATGAAACATTTTGCTTACACTAGCGGCTAAAGATTTACAAATCATATCATTTTGAATAAGGTAAAGTATTTTATCGGCGGAGCTAAGTGAATGAAAGACACTGTCCAAATCTGTGGCTTGCTTCCAAAGCCTTGAACGGATATCATTATATAGACAGAATTCTCCAAGAAAATGAATTTCGTTTTCCACAACATTTGAATCACATATTTTACATATACGATCTTGCAACGGGTAGGTGGGCGGTGGAATCTGCATACATACAAACCTGGAGAAGTAGATAATATTTACACAAGCAGTTGATTGCGTAAGCCGAGGGAATGAAATAACTTTGATCTCTATTGATCAGGGGCCAATGTCGTTTGATGTGGATGGCTTCGGTTAATTTTCTTTTGGTAAAGTCAGGTTGGTTGGTTGTATTGTGTGTTCTGTCCAGTTGATTTGATGATTGGGTGCGATTGCTGATTTATTTACCCACAGATAAACAATGTATTGGTCAAAGCTGAAGCTGAATAACTAGAAAATAGGTTAGATAAACAAACATGTACGTGTAGAATTTGTTAACCTTGCGTGCTCGAATACATGGATAACCGACACCTTTTGGTGTGAGTCACGCATTGCTTGTTTTGTGAATGTTGCAAATGTTGCTTGACCATACAGTTTGTACACGTTCCAGTGATGTTTTTGTTGGGTGGGGTATATAGTATATATTCAGGGCTAGATAAAGCCATAACAGTCTTTGGAATTCTTGGGTTTAAACTCAAACTGCCTGTGACAGGAATTATTCCATAACAATAAGGGTCAAATGGCCCAAAGATTTACTGTCTAAACCAACATAAGGGAAAACACCTCGTCTGATTTATATCTAGACCCATGCAGGGAGAAGCAGAATAACAGAACGTCCATCTACAAGCGAGATGACATCAACTTGGCCTTAGTGTCGAGAATTATTCAAGTAGCTCCATCTTTGTGTGTCAACATTTCAGAACTTATCAATCGAACTCTTTCCAGTGAGGTTTTACACAGTGCCATACGAGTCATGCAAGGCTTCAATATGGAGGAAGTGTTGGAAGAGGATAATACACTTCAGTGGAAAAAAGTATGTCCAATGTATCACAACCATTTTACATTACCATTTGTTCCCGGTGGACAATTGACATGCATTTGCGTGTGTGTATGAGACAGTATTATCTCTTCGCTAACACTGATAATGGGCCAATTGAAAATTGACATGAGGGAAGCACTTATAGTAAACTATATTTATCAGGAATACGCTTATGACTACATGGCAGGTATAACCAACCGAATGTTTGGCCCCGTCCACTTGCTGAATGCTTTGGGTTCGTTTTAACAAGGGTTTACTGTAGTGAGAATCTTACAGTAGATTCTACCTGGAGTATAGATTTTTTCATGGACATGATTTCTGTCGTTATAAATCCTAACAATTACTGGCACGTCCTGTTTAAACAGTTCCTACCCTGCTTCACAAGTGCCTCCAGCTGTTAAATAGTTTGTAGTTGTTCTGGGAGTGGCACAAAATTAGTTGAAGTAGAATATATGAATAGTACAATACATGAAACATCCTACCGAAAACATAATATATACAGAATATATGAATAGTACAATACATGAAACATCCTACCGAAAACATAATATATACAGAATATATGAATAGTACAATACATGAAACAGCATACCGAAAACACTTTATTGTTGCGTATACTTGTGGCATCTAGAGGAACCTTTATGTACATTGCATCTGAATAAACCCTTCGACAACCCCCACATAAATATATTAACTGTTACCATGGTAACCTTGGTTTTATCGGAGTAAAGCACAAAAGTGAGAAATATGGGGAGGTACCTTTGATCTTAATTTGGAAGGCACATGTTGTTTCAAATCCGTGGTCGCTGCGTGCTGTGACTCTGAAGTCATGGAACGTTCCCACATTGGACAAACTGTAGGTGAGTGTGGGGGAAGAGGTCAGTGTTCCTTCGTTGTGTGTGATAAATCTGGTGCTATTGAAAGTGGTGGGTGTCGCTGATATCACGCTCGCTGTAGGATTTGGACAAAAAAGGTCTATTTGCTGCTGGGTACACAAACGTCCTGGACACCACAGTTAATGCTTTCCAATATTGCAGAAAGAAAACATCAACATTTCTAATACATACTAATGTCCAAAGCACAAACCGTATCACGTTTAGTACTTACTGTTGTATCAGGAAACACAAATCTTGCAGGTCATGCCATGTACAGTATTTCCAATCTAATGGTCAAGTTACAGGTCATGTTGTACATGTAACTCATGGTCAATCTTACAGGTCATGTTGTTGTACATGTAACTCATGGTCAATCTTACAGGTCATGTTGTTGTACATGTAAAGTATGGTCAATCTTACAGGTCATATTGTTGTACACATGGTTGTCATGTACAAAGTATGGTCAATCTTACAGGTCATGTTGTTGTACATGTAAAGCATGGTCAATCTCTACAGGTCATGTTGTTGTACATGTAACTCATGGTCAATCTTACAGGTCATGTTGTTGTACATGTAACTCATGGTCAATCTTACAGGTCATGTTGTACATGGTAACAGGTCATGGTCAATGGTCAATCTTACAGGTCATGTTGTTGTACATGTAAAGTATGGTCAATCTTACAGGTCATGTTGTACATGTAATGTAAAGTATGGTCAATCTTACAGGTCATGTTGTACATGTAAAGTATGGTCAATCTTACAGGTCATGTTGTACATGTAAAGTATGGTCAATCTTACAGGTCATGTTTGTACATGTAAGTAAAGTATGGTCAATCTTACAGGTCATGTTGTTGTACATGTAAAGTATGGTCAATCTTACAGGTCATGTTGTTGTACATGTAAGTATGGTCAATCTTACAGGTCATGTTGTACAGCATGGTCAGGTCATGTTGTACATGTAACTCATGGTCAATCTTACAGGTCATGTTGTTGTACATGTAAAGTCATGGTCAATCTTACAGGTCATGTTGTACATGTAACTCATGGTCAATCTTACAGGTCATGTTGTACATGTAACTCATGGTCAATCTTACAGGTCATGTTGTACATGTAAAGTATGGTCAATCTTACAGGTCATGTTGTACATGTAAAGTATGGTCAATCTTACAGGTCATGTTGTACATGTAACTCATGGTCAATCTTACAGGTCATGTTGTACATGTAACTCATGGTCAATCTTACAGGTCATGTTGTACATGTAACTCATGGTCAATCTTACAGGTCATGTTGTTGTACATGTAACTCATGGTCAATCTTACAGGTCATGTTGTACATGTAAAGTATGGTCAATCTTACAGTCATGTTGTTGTACATGTAAAGTATGGTCAATCTTACAGGTCATGTTGTACATGTAAAGTATGGTCAATCTTACAGGTCATGTTGTTGTACATGTAAAGTATGGTCAATCTTACAGGTCATGTTGTACATGTAAAGTCATGGTCAATCTTACAGGTCATGTTGTACATGTTGTACATGTCAAAAGTCATGGTCATGGTCAATCTTACAGGTCATGTTGTACATGTATGGTCAATCTTACAGGTCATGTTGTACATGTAAAGTCATGGTCAATCTTACAGGTCATGTTGTACATGTAAAGTATGGTCAATCATGGTCAATCTTACAGGTCAATGTCATGTTGTACATGTAACTCATGGTCAATCTTACAGGCATGTTGTACATGTAAACTCATGGTCAATCTTACAGGTCATGTTGTACATGTAAAGTATGGTCAATCTTACAGGTCATGTTGTTGTACATGTAAAGTATGGTCAATCTTACAGGTCATGTTGTACATGTAAAGTATGGTCAATCTTACAGGTCATGTTTGTACATGTAAAGTATGGTCAATCTTACAGGTCATGTTGTACATGTAAAGTATGGTCAATCTTACAGGTCATGTTGTACATGTAAAGTATGGTCAATCTTACAGGTCATGTTGTACATGTAACTCATGGTCAATCTTACAGGTCATGTTGTACATGTAACTCATGGTCAATCTTACAGGTCATGTTGTACATGTAACTCATGGTCAATCTTACAGGTCATGTTGTACATGTAACTCATGGTCAATCTTACAGGTCATGTACATGTTGTACATGTAATCTTACAGGTCAACATGTAACAGGTCAATCTTACAGGTCATGTTGTACATGTAAAGTATGGTCAATCTTACAGGTCATGTTGTACATGTAACTCATGGTCAATCTTACAGGTCATGTTGTACATGTCATGTCAATCTTACAGGTCATGTTGTACATGTAAACTCATGGTCAATCTTACAGGTCATGTTGTACATGTAAAGTATGGTCAATCTTACAGGTCATGTTGTACATGTAAAGTATGGTCAATCTTACAGGTCATGTTGTACATGTAAAGTATGGTCAATCTTACAGGTCATGTTGTACATGTAAAGTATGGTCAATCTTACAGGTCATGTTGTACATGTAAAGTATGGTCAATCTTACAGGTCATGTTGTACATGTAAAGTATGGTCAATCTTACAGGTCATGTTGTTGTACATGTAACTCATGGTCAATCTTACAGGTCATGTTGTTGTACATGTAAAGTATGGTCAATCTTACAGGTCATGTTGTACATGTAACTCATGGTCAATCTTACAGGTCATGTTGTACATGTAACTCATGGTCAATCTTACAGGTCATGTTGTACATGTAAACTCATGGTCAATCTTACAGGTCATGTTGTGTACATGTAAAGTATGGTCAATCTTACAGGTCATGTTGTACATGTAAAGTATGGTCAATCTTACAGGTCATGTTGTTGTACATGTAAAGTATGGTCAATCTTACAGGTCATGTTGCATGTACATGTAAAGTATGGTCAATCTTACAGGTCATGTTGTACATGTAAAGTATGGTCAATCTTACAGGTCATGTTGTACATGTAAAAGTATGGTCAATCTTACAGGTCATGTTGTTGTACATGGTCAATCTTACAGGTCATGTTGTACAATAACTCATGGTCAATCTTACAGGTCATGTTGTACATGTAAAGTATGGTCAATCTTACAGGTCATGTTGTTGTACATGTAAAGTATGGTCAATCTTACAGGTCATGTTGTTTGTACATGTAAAGTATGGTCAATCTTACAGGTCATGTTGTACATGTAAAGTATGGTCAATCTTACAGGTCATGCTGTTGTACATGTAACTCATGGTCAATCTTACAGTTAATCATGTTGTACATGTAAAGTATGGTCAATCTTACAGGTCATGTTGTACATGTAAAGTATGGTACAGGTCATGTGTAACTCATGGTCAATCTTACAGGTCATGTTGTACATGTAAAGTATGGTCAATCTTACAGGTCATGTTGCTGTACATGTAAAGTATGGTCAATCTTACAGGTCATGTTGTACATGTAAAGTATGGTCAATCTTACAGGTCATGTTTGTACATGTAAAGTATGGTCAATCTTACAGGTCATGTTGTACATGTAAAGTATGGTCAAACAGTCATGGTCAACATTAACATGGTCAATCTTTGTCATGTTGTACATGTAAAGTATGGTCAATCTTACAGTTAATGTTTGTACATGTAAAGTATGGTCAATCTTACAGGTCATGTTGTACATGTACATGTAAAGTATGGTCAATCTCAATCTTACATGTTGTTGTACATGTAAAGTATGGTCAATCTCACAGTTAATGTTGTTGTACATATAAAGTATGGTCAATCTTACAGGTCTTATTGTTGTACATGTAAAGAATGTTCAATCTCACAGGTCATGTTGTTGTACATGTAAAGTATGGTCAATCTTACACTTAATGTTGTTGTACATATAAAGTATGGTCAATCTCACAGGTCATGTTGTTTTACATGTAAAGTATGGACATACGTACAGTTAATGTTGTTGTACATGTAAAGTATGGTCAATCTCACAGGTCATGTTGTTGTACATGTAAAGCATGGTCAATTTTACAGTTAATGTTGTTGTACATGTAAAGCATGATCAATCTTACAGTTAATGTTGTTGTACATGTAAAGTATAGTCAATCTCACATTTAATGTTGTTGTACATGCAAAGCATGGTCAATCTCACAGTTATTGTTGCTGTCCATGTGAAGTATGGTCAATCTCACAGGTCATGTTGTTGTACATGTAGAGCATGGTCGGTCTTACAGTTAATGTTGTTGTACATGTAGAGCATGGTCGGTCTTACAGTTAATGTTGTTGTACATGTAAAGCATGGTCGGTCTTACAGTTAATGTTGTTGCACATGTAAAGCATGATCAATCTCACGGTTAATGTCGTTGTAAATGTAAACTATGGCCAAGCGCGCAGTAATTTTGTTGTACATGGAAAGTATGTTCAATCTCACAGGTCATGTTGTTGTACATGTAAAGCATGGTCAATCTTACAGTTAATGTTGTCATACATGTAAAGTATGTTCAAGCTCACAGGTCATGTTGTTGTACATGTAAAGTATTGTCAATCAGACAGGTAATGTTTTTTTGTATAAATCATGGTCAAGCTCACAGTTAATCTTCTTGTACATATTAATGTATGAGAATGTTCCTACAGAGAAATTAGTCCATGGTATATGTTCTCGTGGTAAGGGGAGCGATATTGGCTACTTTGTTGTTAACTGAGATACTCGTACCACGCGCAATCATTGTTACTGTACTTATCAGTTAAAGTTCAAGAGAAAATATCTACCGCATCTTCAGAATACGGTGCTGATGGTTGATGTGATTTGTAAATACTAGAGACAATACTGACAGTTACAGTACATGTACATAAGAAATACTTGAAACAATATAAACATTGCATTAAACACTCGCCTACATCGCTGGTTTGGATGTACCGACAACGGTTCTGTGATAACATAAGAAGACTTAAGCCCATATTTTCTACCTCTGACATTGATCTGGAACTTGCACTGAGAACTTCGACCAGCACCATCCGTGGCTTCATAAGTTACTTCTGTGTTCCTCCACACTGGGTCCGCTGGATTGAAGCCACGTGGAAGGATAAAACCTTTCATGCTAAGAAAGCCAGAGTTGTCTTGAACGGAGGGGGTGGCGATGCTTGGTACCTGCATCTTGTTGATCGTGATGTTCCTGTCACCGTCACAGTTGGTAAACACCGGGGGGCTTGTATCTAAATACAACAAACAAAATCAATTAATGACTACCTTCACGTATAGGAAAACCTGAATCCAATGAATACCGTCACATACAGAAAAAACTTCCATCCAGTGATTACCTTCACATACAGGAACACTTCCATCCAGTGATTACCGTCACACACAGAAACACTTCCATCCAGTGATTACCGTCACACACAGAAACACTTCCATCCAGTGATCACCTTCGCAGACTGAAACACTTCCATCCAGTGATTACCTTCACACTTCCATCCAGTGATTACCTTCACATACAGGAACACTTCCATCATTGATTCACAAACAAACACTTCTCACACACAGACAGGGAAACGTCCACCCAGTCATTACCTTCACATACAGATAACATTTCCATCTATTGATTATCTTAACATACAGGAACACTTCCATCTACTGATAACCTTCACATACAAGGGCATTTCCATCCAGTGATTACCTTCACATACAAATACACTACCATGCAGTGATCGACTTCACACACAGAAACAATTCCATCCATTCATTACCTTCACAAACAGAAACACTTCCATCCATTCATTACCTTCACTCGTCACGATATGGCTGAAATATTGCCGATGTGACGTTAAATTTTAACTCACTAACTCACTCATTACCTTCACACAAAGCAACACTTCCACACAGTAATAACCTTTAGATGCAAGAACACTTCCACCCAGTGATAACCTTAATTAGATACAGGAACACTTCCACCCAGTGATAGCCTTTAGATAAAGGAACACTTCCACCCAGTGATTACCTTCACATACAGGAACACTTCCACCAAGCGATAACCTTTAGATACAGGAACACTTCCACCCAGTGATAACCTTTAGATACAGGAACACGTCCACCCAGTGATAACCTTTAGATACAGGAACACTTCTACACAGTGATAACCTATAGATACAGGAACACTTCCATCCAGTGATAACCTTTAGAGACTGGAACACTTCCACCCAGTGACAACCTTTAGATGCAGGAACACTTCCACCCAGTGATAATCTTTACATACAGGAACACTTCCACCCAGTGATTACCTTCACATACAGGAACACTTGCATCCAGTGATTACCTTCACATACAGGAACACTTCCACCCAGTGATTACCTTCACATACAGGAACACTTCCACCTATACAATGCCTTCACATACAGGGGCACTTCCATCCGGTGATTACTTTCGCACACTGAAACACTTCTCACACACAGAGAAACGTCCACCCGGTCATTACCTTCACATACAGATAATATTTCCATCTATTGATTATATTAACATACAGGAGCACTTCCATCTACTGATAACCTCACATACAAGGGCACTTCCACCCAGTGATTACCTTCACATATAAATACACTACCATGCAGTGATCACCTTCGTATACAGGAACACTTCCATCCATTCATTACCTTCACACAGAGAAACACTTCCATCCATTCATTACCTTCACACACAGAAACACTTCCATCCATTCATTACCTTCACACACAGAAACACATCCATCCATTCATTACCTTCACACAAAGGAACACTTCCATCAAGTGATAACCTTTGGATACGGGAAAACTTCCACCCAGTGATAACCTTTAGACACAGGAACACTTCCACACAGTGATAACCTTTAGATACAGGAACACTTCCACCCAGTGATAACCTTTAGAGACAAGAACACTTCCACCCAGTGATAATCTTTAGATACAGGAACACTTCCATCACGTGATTACCCTCACACACAGAAACGTTTCCATCCAGTGATAACCTACAGGAACACTTCCATCCAGTGATTACCTTTAGATACAAGAACACTTCCACCCAGCGATAACCTTTAGATACAGGAACACTTCCACCCAGTGATAACCTTTAGATACAGGAACACTTCCACCCAGTGATAACCTTTAGATTCAGGAACACTTCCACCCAGTTTTTACATTTAGATACAGGAACACTTCCACCCAGTGATAACCTTTAGATACTGGAACACTTCCACCCAGTGATAACCCTTAGATACAGGAAGACTTCATAACAGTGATTACCTTTAGATACAGGAACACTTCCACCCAGTGATTACCTTTAGATACAGGAACACTTCCATCCAGTGATTACCTTTAAATACAGGAACACTTCCACCCAGTGATTACCTTGACACACAGGAACACTTCCACCCAGTGATAACCTTTCGATACAGGAACACTTTCACTCAGTAAGTACCTTCACATAGAGAGTGAGTAAGTTAAAATTTTCATTCACAACGGCAGTATTTCAGTCATATCGTGATGACAAAAAGTAATGTACCTAGAATAAATATTTTTATACTTTTTTACAACCTGTCAGCGAATGACAGTATAACGACCAGAATATCACAAATGGTGGGACATACTCGTCCATTATAACCAGTACCCCCAGAAGCTAGTCAACAATATCATCACAACCACCCTCAACCCAAGAGATAAACCACCCCGCCGGCAATCAGCACCCTTTGTAATAAGTATCCCGTATGTCCCAGCAGTCAGCCACCAGATAAGATGACTCCTTCAGCAGCAAGCAAGGATAGACGTCCTGTTCCAAAAAGGCAAATCCATCCACAACCTCCTCCAAGCCACAGGCAAACCACCGTCAACAACAAAAGATGACCCCTCGGGAGTAGTCTACCAGATTCGTTGTCAATGCGGAGACTTCTATATTGGTGAAACATCCCGCCCGCTCCCACTACGAATCAAGGCACATAAAGCGTCAGTCCAGAAAAACGACTCCAAATCCGCCATAGCCGACCACACCCAAGCCAACCCTAACCATGCCATCCTATGGAACAACATTGATATCCTGGAAATCAACCGACAAGACTACAAAATTAGGAAACTCCTTGAAGCCTTAAACATCCAACGCCACAACCCCACCATGAATCGAGATCAAGGTTATTTCATCTCGTCAGCCTATCACCACCTAATCAAAGACCACCACCAGTAATCCTTCCTTACCTCCTTTGTCCATCTGGCTTCCATGCTCCCCCCTTTGTGCTTGTAATCACAACTATTGTACGTCAACTCATTAATTGTATAAACTCAACTCTAATCACAATCAATCACTCTGTACATCAACCTCCTCTGCTGTAATGACTTATCAAATATCCAATGTACATCAACCTTGTTAATTGTATATACTCACTATGCAGCTATGTATATATTCTCCTTGCTTCAATTGTTGTATCACTTGCTTGATAACGGTGTTAGTACCTACACCGAAACGTCGCACTCATTGCAATAAAGAAGTTGACTATCCATAGAAATCAGTTTTTCTTCAATTACAGAGCATGGTCAAGCTTTATGAATCAAATCAATTTCCTTGAAGAAAAACAAGAATTAATGAGGACGTGAATAAAAAAAGATCCTTTATGGATAAAACTGTGAAATATCAATCATTTGTGATGGATAAAACAATGCAGTTAAGCAGGACATGCTTGACTGTGATGCTTTCATCACAAGGGCTGCAAAATGGAGGATCTTCGCCTTTTAATAAATATTCATGTGTATAGCTTGGGTAGTATACACGATGGTGGTACTGGATCACATCCCCCTTTGGCATTCTTTATGGTCGAATAATACCCCATCAATGGTTGAAAAATAGAGAAAACGACGCCAACCATCGTTTGATTTTTCCCCGTATTTTTTGTGAGGGAGGTAACACCGTACCGTTGGGTACGATGAATATTTCCTCTCGCATGATTCCCCTGTGTGGTCCGTCCTTTAGACTATACAAATGGGGTTGGCCTTCTTTGATATCCACTCAATCGATACTGTACATTTTGATGTACAAGTACATTTTTGACGCGTTGCCGACTATCACCCTCGTGTTCGCCGGGCTGGTATAAATACCTCATGCGTCTTTCGAGTATCCCTGCGGGCTGTAGTAAATCTTATCCATTATATTGTTTTATTCATATTTCTCCTTTAAATACAACTGGATCCATCGTTAACAACGATGTTTTGTTCATTCTCAACCCATATATCCTATGCTTGTCACTTCTCAGAGTGTTCATTTCAAGTTTGTTCACGTTTTGAATTGTTCATGTTTGATCTGTTTTTTCACGACGCATTTCTTTACGCCCTTGGCCTTTCTTATCTCGCCGCTCTCGGCTTTCTTGATGGAATAGATCTTAAGTCTCAATCTGACGTACTTGTCAATACGGGTCCCTGCACATTCCTCTTTCATTTTCACGAACACCTTTTTTTCACTTGGCTGTGCTCCTTGGGGTATTCGCTCATATCGTAAATGTCTATTTTTCATGCCATATCTGCGTACATGTCCTCGGTACAAATTTCCATCGTTAATGAATCTTTTTCGGTGTACAACACCTCGAACCTATCACCATACTGCTTCTCGAATTCGTTGTAGTAAAAGTCGTACATCAAGTGTTTGGACAAGTCGAGAATGCTCATGCCGACGTATACGGGCTGGCTGAACTTGATGTGACTCATGGCCATATGCAACGCCGCCAAGTCGTTGTGGAATAGCTTGTTTCAGTTAAAGGCCAGGCTCGCTATGAATTTTCTCAGTTTTTTTTTTCTTCATGGGATCTGACTAATTTCACATTGACACGCTTCCTCAAATTCTCCATGGTTTTGCCGAATGCCGAGTTGTTCATGAACTTCACTGGATTCTTTTGAAAAATCGCTGGCGGCCCATTTTCATAAATCCGTGCTCACCTTATGTAAGGCTCCATCCAAGGACTTTGATCGAAGTTGAGAAATGTGTATTTTCTTAAGCTTCATGCCCAGCGACAGGTACAGCTGCAGGTTGTGATAGTGAACGATAGATTTGGTTTACGTTCGGTACGAGTTGTTCCACGTCGGCCAGTTTGTTATTTCCCAGCAGGTTTTGCTGATATTCGGACATCCAGTCTGCATCAACCGTCAATCGTTCGGGAGCAAATGGATAGCTGTAGTGCGACTGTGTGTAATTCTGCAGCGTATTCCAGGTTGAC